ATGGAACATCGCACAGCTAGGCTACATTCATCGGGCCGGACCGTGGTGGGAGCTGTCCCGGACCACCACGGTGACTAGCAAGGGCTGGACGGGGCCAGCGCCGGTATGTACCGACCGCACTGCCGATCAGACCGCAATGAGTTGAGCGCAAAGATCGCCGCACTGTGTACCATTGGCTCAGCGTAGAGACGGGGAGGACTGGGCTAGTTAGCAGGACAAGGGTGGCGAGGGACACGGGGGTGTCTCGCCCGGCAATCGGTTCGGACGTAGCGGTGACGGGCCGCTACGACTCTCACTAGTACCCTGGGCTAATTCGTACCGCTGTCGCATAGGTCCAAGCTAAGGTAGCTGGCCATTCATATGGTTACATTTCTTCGCCATAAGAATGGTTATTATCGCACTTCTCTCGGTAAGGGTCCAACCGCCGCACTACGTTGGGTTTCGCTCTCGCAATAAGGGTTTGGTCCGCCGCACCTGACCGACGAGCGAAGAAAAATCTGCTCTATTTATAGGATTCTAGAGGCTTGGGAATTAATAAAATATGAGCGTCGCTGAACAGCTCAACCAATGAAAATCTTCCATTCCAAAGGGTCACATGACTACTTGCTAGAGTCGTGTGCAAGAATCTCAGTGTCGTGTGTAACAATGCAAAATACAGAATAAGAAGTCACGTGTACAAAGTGTAGAGCCGGGTGCGTGAAAGTGCTTACCCGGTCATCTGTGGCGAATGATTGACAGTTATAAAGTCTGAGGTTTCTGGACATTAGCATTTCTGGGAACCTTACCACGCCCAACTACGCAGCCACATGGAGGGGAATTCTGACATGCTAAAACTGAGCAGAGAAAACACAAGGATAAAGGAGTGAAGGATCACGCCATCACGCCAGTACAGCATGAATAACTTAATACAAAATTAGCGTCTCTGGTACATGTCCACAATGCATAGCTTAGCTAAATAAGAGACCCTGGGAATGCAAGGACCGAGAACGAGTAAAACTAGGGGGCGCTAGAATTCCAAAATTTGTGGGTGCGCAACACTACAAAGCTTATATTGCCGGGATGGCCGATTTCTTTTTTTTTTTCAAAAAACATTAAAACAATCCAGAATTTTCAATGTAACACTCTGCTTTTGAGCGGGTGAAAACGCTTTCGGTTCAAGAGCCGTAGCGATGCTGTTTTGAAAAAAGGAAACCAGTATTTTTTACTTGTGGGAAAGCATGGATCAATAAAAGATTAATCGTAAATACCTCTATCGCTTCTTCTGTGTCACGACAGGCTAAAACCTCCAGTGTCATGGAGTTTGGCTGCCTTGCTATCGTTCCGAATGCTCCAAAACGTACAACTGTGGCAGCATCAGAATGTTTCGATTGCTTGGTCGCGGTTTCTTGCCCAATATCTGAATCTTGCTGTTCCTGTGATTGTAACTTAGCCAGCTCTGTAAAACAACAAACCCATCAGGTTAACATTAGCAGAAGCCATTTCTATTCAGTTTCTGAGAAGGCCAAAAAACCGGAATCATGTGACTTGGTGCTTATTATGCAGTATAACTCTCTGAACTGTTTCCCCAATACAAAGGCGCAATGTCCTTTCTGTCGTCGTTAAGATGACATTATTTAACGAACATTTATATATTTTAAATGCCAATAAAGGTGAACAATTTAGTTTGATATTCCTGCTCACCTTCAGCAGATGTTAGGAGGCTTGTTCGGCCATCCTCTTCCAACTGAAAGTCAAAGAAAAATGCGATATATACTCCAAGTTGCAGCTAGGTATTTCAAATTATAGGTTTAATACAAAACGTGTAAAACGCAGTATGACTGTGTTCTTGTGGGGCTCTCGTGGGGTACCTATGCAGTTGGAACAATAGTACGCTAGAAAGAACCGAGAAGTTAATAAAATGTGCCCCAGAAGGGAATTCTAAAGAAGGGAAAGAAGAAGTGCATCATTGGTGGTTGAAGGGAGAATGATTTTCAGCATCAAATTCCAACAAAATACTCTTGTGTAGGGCCCACGCCTACAGAATATCAGTATCCCGTATTCCAAGTTCTCAAACCGCATCTGCTGTTGTTTTGTAAGGGAAATTTTGAAACGACAAAAGGTAAAAAATATATATATTTAAGTATCTGATTTACGTTTTCTCAGCTACAGAAAAAACCCTGAATACCAGCAACGTTGAATGCAAAGTACTATCTTTGTGGGCGTTGGTAACTGTAAAACCAGCCATTTTAAATGGGTGTTATTCTAATAGCTTCTGGGTGTTATCAGAGGTATGTGTACAGCGTGGTGAAGTCTTTTGATGACACCCGGGGTGTTAAATTATGTTCAAGCAGTACCATCGCCACTCTATATGGTGTCGGGGTAGGTCCATTTCTCCCCAACCTTTCTGAAAGCTTAGGTATTTGCCAAAAATCCAGAAGTACAAACATAAAGGTCAGATGCAGTAAAAAAAAAACCTACAGTACAGAAATACAACTAAAATTGCACTGATTTTGCAATCTTTCCAAAAATCTCTAAAGGACCGGAAAGCAAATTTTACCATGCATGGAACAGCAGAAGTCAAAGGTAACTAAACAGCAGATCAAACGATCTTTTCACTGCATTCACTTACAAACAGCAATGTCGTCACTAGCTATATTTGTGTCTTAGGTTGTGCCTCATAAAGAAGCAACAGTCTCAAACTCAAAATACTGACTAATAATGCGTAGATAAAGTTTCAACCCCTTTATAGTTCAATAACAGAAGTAGGCAAAACGTTTAATGTTGTATTAATAATATATTTGACACTCACTATTTTGCAGTTAAAGACCTTTTTCACCCAATTTTGGTTAATCAACGTCACAATTTTACAATTAAATGCAGCATTCCACAGCATTCTACCACACTGCATTCAGCTAACCTACTTGCCAATTAGAAAGCTTATTTACACAGTCACACCTTTGCAACCGACAAACAACACAAGTCAAATAAGGAGTTAAAACAAGTAATTCGTGATGTACTGAACCCGAATATTTAGCATAAACCTACGATACCGTTTAGAACTAAACCACTGTTAAGGGTCAGTCAAAACTTTTGATGCCTTTATGTTTGTCGAAGTTGTATTGAACCACCCACCAAAGTAGGGAGGAGTCGGTTGAGTACACTTTGACCTTGAAATACAGCACAATTTGACCTTTGGTGATGGTGGCATTAATATGCATAAGTATAACAATAATAGGATATTGTGACGCCACACCCCTCCGACGAATGCGAGGGCGCCCTCCTCCTCGAGATGCGGCGCGTCGGACGGCACGCCAGAGAGTCCCTGAGCGGCTAGGGACGAGTCCGTTGGGACCGAAGTGTACCGTCCCCCAAGAAAGTTGGTCTTCGTCGAGATGATGGCTAATCTGATTGGTCGAAAATCTGATTGATCAAAGCGGGTACGGACTTTGGGGGTCCTGGCGACTTCATTGGCTGGCGCTGGTTCATGGACCCCTGCCTGGTGGCTGGGCGTTGCCGGGTGTTCTTCTTTTGGCTTGTCGTTGCCTAGGATGGCCTCTGGAGTGGTATCGTTCTCTAGGGTGGGTCTCTCGTTGCTCTGGCGGTCTTCTTTTTCTTCTTCTCGTGGCTTCTCTTTCTTTGGGGACGTTCTTAACGGGCATAGGGAGGTTCCTAAACCTGCCCCATGGTACCGTGAATCGAGGATTGGGACTTCGTCTGTCCGCAGGCGTGCTTCCCACGATGATCCGCCTCACCTCCGTCTGCGTCGGTTCCCCTTGATCGGCCTCCTGACCTTTGTCTTGCCTTGGCCCGGGCGTCATCCTTTCTATATCACTTAAGTGGTCTGGGTGAGCTACTTTATAGTGCCGCCGCAGATTATCTCGACGCCTCTCCCGGTAATCACACCGCCAGCAGAAGAAATGGGTTGCTGGCCCATGGCTTTTCTTATGCCGTAACAGGCCCCTAAGGTGGCCGAACTTCTTGGGGCACATGGTGCACTGGAATTCTATCTTGGCCCAGACCTCCATCTTCTTTTATTTTTTATTTTTTTTATTTATTTACTGGTAACTTGAACTCAGTTTCTGCAACGTTATCAGAGGAAACCATAATTAATTGACCACTGTCGTAAGGGCATTATTCTTTATATATACTTTATATTATACATTATACTTTATATATCAATTATCGATAACTAAGCGGTAGCTTATGTTCCCGCCTTGGGTAACGTATTTTCTTTTCAACATTCTCGCCCGTCTTATCATGGCCCGACTTCACTGATATACTTGGTTTAAGCGTTGTGTTACCTTTGCCTAAAACCTAAAGACAATCGTTTCCTCTTTCTAAGGTAACCAAGATCTCAGGATGACTGCTTCCTTCATCCCTGTCACCCCAAGATTCAACCTCCTCAGGATGTTCTTGCGCATTGTCGGCGCCTGTTCTGGTGTTGGACTCACTAGAGGGAGCCCTACTAGGAGTACTCCATGGATCCAATGGACTGTTATGGCAAGGTTTCAGCCTATCGTCATGTACAACTCGGGGCTTTGCGCCCTTGACCTCATGCGGAATACAACATCTGAGAGTTTCTTCAACACTAAATACGGCCCCTCCCACTTCAACTGAAGCTTGGGGCTAACCCCTTTCTTCCTTGCGGGGATGAACAGCCAAACAAAGTCCTCCTGGATATCAGGATCGCACGCCCGGCGATCATAGTTTTTCTTCTGGCGCCTCATAGCGTCTCCTAGTCATTTCTGCGCTCTCTCGTGAGCACTCCTGATCTTGTCCCTCGAACTTTGTGCATAGTCACCTTTTGCCTCGCCATCACTTGGGGCCGGCTGCTCGATTGTTAGATCAATCGGGAGAGTGACTTCCCGGCCTAGCATCATCATATTTGGGGTTTCCCCCGGGCTTTCCTGTATCGTACATCTGTATGCGCTGGTTGCAAATGGGTGGTACTGGTCCCAATCGCGTTGACCTTTGTGCAGGTCGATCATCATAGAAACCATGGTGACGAGAGTCTTATTGAACCTTTCTATGAGCCCGTCTGATTTAGGATTGTATGCTGTTGTTCTTGACTTACTTATTCCCAGTAGGCGACAAATTTCTGGGAATACCTCCGATTCGAAGTTGGTCCCATGATCCGAATGGACAATTCTCTGACAAACTTCGAGGCAACTGTTTCTATCTTTGCATCCGGGAGTGCATATGCCTCCATCCATCTTGTGGTGTCGTCTCCAACCACCAGGATCCACTGGTTCCCATCTTCAGTCCTTGGGAGGGGACCGACCAAGTCTAATGCCAGTCTATCTGTGGTTCCTCCAACATTATACTGTTGCAAGGGCGCCCTCCGTTTCTTTGGGGGCGGCTTCTTCCTTGCGCATTGATCACATTTCCGGATGTATGCTCTTACATCGGCACTCATACCTGACCAGAAGTACCGCTGCTTCACACGGGCCAGGGTTTTCTTCAGGCCAAGATGGCCTCCCAATTTCCCACCATGCAGTTCTTCTACAAACTCGCGTCTGAACATCTCAGGAACCAGCAACCTCCATTGTACTGAACCACCATCATTAGACTCCCACCATTGGTATAGTACACCGTCTCTCACCACCAACTGATCCCAGGGGGACCAATACGTCGTTCTCGCTGGACACCTGTGAGCTACCTCATCCCAATGATGAGGGCGCTCCTTCCCCTCACCCTTGGCAATTAACAGCCACTTCATCGATTCATCCGCCATTTGGGCGTTTGTAAGCCTTTCGCTGCTTACAGCAGGTTCCACCACAGCAACTCGGGCCCCTTTCTCATCTCCGGGGCTCGAGGTTGACTTTTGTTTATCTTCTTCCACAGTAACAGTCGCATCAATATCGGCATTGTCACCATCCGAACTATCTTGTGCATTACAATGGTCGCACTGTTTACAAGGTCGTCTACACAGACTATCAGCATTCTGATGCTTGGCACACGGACGGTGCTGGATTGTGACGTCATACTCTGACACAACCTCCAACCATCGTGCAAGTTGTCCTTCCGGGTTCGTCGAGTTCCTTAACCATACCAGATAAGAATGGTACGTCCGTACTTTGACCTTTTGACCGTTAAGGTACTGGCTGATGTATTCCAAATACGTAACAACAGCGAGCAGCTCTCTTCGAGTGACTTATAGTTTCTCTTAGCTTTGCTCAACTTCTGGCTTGCAAAAGCCATAACTTTCTTGACCTGAGTCAGTATGGCCCCGATGCCCTCTGAACTTGCATCCGTATCCAAGATGTACTCGCTACTTGGTAACGGGTACGCCCATTCCCGGGCCCCTAGCAAACAATGTTTCAGCCAGTGGAATGCCTTATCACAAGACTCATCCCAAATGAATTCTTTTGACTTTGACGTCAAGGTATGCAGTGGGCTGGCGATGCTAGCAAAGTCCTCGATGAACCTTTGGTAATACGAGGCAAGGCCCAAGAAACTCCTCACCTCCTTTACGTTCTTTGGGACCGGCCAATCAGCGACTGCCTTAACCTTAGCCGGATCCGTTGCTACGTCCTCAGCCGACACAATGTGGCCAAGGTAGGTTACTGATATCTGAAACAGGTTACACTTTTGGGCTTTTAGTTAAGCCCAGCATTTCTCAATCGTTCAAAGACTGTTCGGAGTCGTCCCAACTCCTCTTCTACTGTTCTGCCAAAGACAATGACGTTATCAAGATACACTAATAAGATATCCCACTGCAGCCCAGACAACACTTTCTTGGAC